ATTTGATTGGGTAATAATCACGTGTAGATTTACAAATCGATCTAAAAACTAGCCAATCAGACAAATTTCTGTCTATGCGCTAATTTTTCCGGTTTGTAATCATGTGAGACCCTGCTAAATATAGATTGTTGCACGCGTTATATATAAACATCTTTTCCATACAGCCATGTTCGCTTTCGGCTTAACTAAATCCTTCGAACGCTTGCCTACCGGCAGTAGCTGTATCCCAAATACTCTGATTAACGGCTGTGTTGCTCGTTATAATACAAAAGTTAATGAGAATTTTTTCAACCGGAAACGTGAACTTGTTCAGTTCACAAATGCATTCAGTAGCCCTATGCCGATGCTTCATGTCGTTCTAGGTCCTCCTAGTACTGGAAAAACTGCCTTGGTTCGTGAGATAACGAGAAAAAAGATAGAGGGTAAAGACCAATTTAGCCCTCTTTTTATCAACTGCCGTAAAGGACATTTCGACACACCAGACAGAGTATATGATTCAATTTATTCGCAATTCAGTCCATTTTTTGATAAACATAAAGATTTCTTGAAGAGAATTATAGGAGGACAATTCAACATCGGAGATGTAGGATATCGACTTGGTGAAAGAGGAGCAACTACTTCTAATGATGTCACAAGGCTTCTTGATAATATTAGTGCTCATCTTCCAAATTGGTCCATTTGGAATAGTAACAATATACCTCCACCTATTTTGGTCATTGATGAAGCGAATATGTTTAGCCAGCTTGCAGAGAATGATAAAAATCTTCTCAAATCAATTCTGAACTGGCTGGTGGCAAATACAAAAGAAGAAAAACGCTTCCACACTGTGCTTACCTCTTCTGATTCATTCTTTTTTAACTGGATTGTAAAGCATAAATCCATCTTATAATCATCTTTAATAATAATGTAAAGGCTTATAATTCTCCAATACACATTTATTCCTAGTCTTACATATCCCACATGCAACCCCATATGTTGTTGGAGATTTGAGCAAGGAAGAAGCCAAAAAATATTTTGAAATGCATATTCTTCCTCAATATGGTATGTCTTTACTAAACCCATCTATTTATACTTACTGTTGCTCACATAATGGTATTTGTTATTTAAAAAAAGAATGCAAAGAACTTGAAGGCAAATTTGACCAGGTTTGCAAAATAACAGGAACATGCATGATGATTATTGAAATGTATGTCAATGAATACAAAAATTCTGAAGGAAAGCTTGCGGGTATATGTTGGGTTTTATTTTTTTTTTTAAAGGATATGTATTCTTGTTAATTTAAAATTTTAATGCATAATAAATTAGATAGTCAATTTTCAGTTCGTGAATCAGAATATAATTGGTTGAAGCATGGTCTCAGTCCCAAGATCTTGGCATTTAAAAACGATCCTGATCCGCCACTTTGGGAAGCTAAAGATTTAATCAAAACCATGGATGCAATAGTGAAGGCAGAGGATCAGGGATACATCCTAGCAGATGTCTTAAATAAAGAAATTGGTGAAAAGAAAGTCGAATCACTTATAAAGTACAATTATTTGCACTGTCGGACAACCTCACGATTTGCTAATGACATTGATGTACCACCAAAAAAAATAGTTTTAACTGCGATGAACCAACCATCAGTATGTGCAATGAAAGATATCCTAGAAGAATAGCAACAGAACTAACATTATAACAAAAATATGAATCTTTTATTGTATTTTTTAAGCGATAAAAGAAAATTTTGCTAAAATTTAATTTCGTCTATATTTGCATTTTTGTCTGGCTGGATTTTTCTAGAGCTTAATTAGGCTAAATAGTATAAAAGGTAGCCAAACGGCTAAAATAAAAATGAAAGATATCAGAGTAGTAGATATTTTAAGGGAGGAATAATGCATAAATATATTCCTGCCCGCCCCTAGACATCTTTTACATAGTAAAAGAATGGCAGTTCCTTCTCACTACTCCGCATTGCTATTTATAAACCAATAGCATATAAAGTACTAATGTACCCATCCTTCTTCTTGATATTTCTCTCATAAAACCTTTGAACCGTAACCTTCTTAATATTCCCACCTAATTCACGAATTTCCATTGCTACATGAAGACACATTTCTTCTAGGTTAAAATTTTTTCTGCCTTAATTCTATCAAAATTTGCTTAAATTGGTTCCAGACAGTACCCGTGAATGTTAATTGGCCTGAACCAGATGAACTTCCGGATGAGCTTGTAAGAGATCGATTTGATGCTTCGGAATAATTAGATACACTTTGTTGGTCGGCTGATTTCTTCTGATAATTGCATAATGTTGAATTAATCCGTTTTGGAGAACTTCGATAGAAGTATTAACTGAGGCAAAATTATTATAGTATGCTTCCTCAATACTTTCTGTGCCTCAGAAGCGTAGCCGACATCACGTGAATTGATTTTTTCTAGGTGCCGCACAAAAAATGCGCGGCAGATCCACGATTTTGATTAGCTAAGAGCGACGGTCAAAAAATTAGGCCGGAATTACACATAATTTTACTAATGAAATCGCAGCCACCTACTAAGTGAAAATTGTTCCTGGGCCAATTTTACCATAATTCGGGCTTATTTTTTAAAAATTCTATTTTGTAATGAAAAAATTAAAAAGTTAATTCCGGCCGGAAATTAGTAAACAATTATGTAATGCGGGCCAAAATTTTGAAGATCCTCGGC